TGGAGAACGAGTTGTCAGGTCTTCACCCGTCGACTGATATCGGAAAAGCACTTTTGGGGGGAATTCAACGCTTGGCTAAAGAGGGAGAGCAGGCGCTGAAGGATGAGCTCAAGAAAGTGCCACCAATGTAAATACACTGTTTTATGTAATCAACAAATTACTAAATTTAAAAATCTTTATTTAATTTTTATTAATGATAAAATCTAAATCTAATATTTAATGTATTAAAAAATTATAATTCTATTTTTATATATAATTAAAAAATAAATGGTTTAATTCTTCAAATAAAATTAATTAATTAATTATATTACTATTAATAATAATAATTACTGTACATTAAAGCTTCAACTTTACTTTAACCCTGTGCATTCATAGACATTTAGCAACCAAAAATCATTATCATTTTTATTATATTTTAAACTAATTATGAGCATAATTATTATGTAAAAATTAATATTTACTCTTTATTTAATAAGTATTTAACTTACACTGGTCCTATTAAACTATCTTTCCTATTAATTCCTTGTAACAAAAAACTGACAGGGTTCTGTTTGCCAATAAACATGCAGTTTTATTTGACTCAACATTGTTTTGACGGATATATTTATAGTTTTTGACACATGATTTATAATTTTGTTAAATTTATAATTAATTCAATTTGTGAGCATTATCATTATCAGCATTACCAGTCATAATATTAAATCATAATCATTATTTTTGTTATCTTAAACTCATTTAAATATCCTTATTAATGATTCTCACAATACATTATTTAATTATAACATTATTACTTTCACATTAGTACTGAAATTGTATGTTCATTAGATTTTAATTAAATTAAAATAGATGATACATCCAGGGTTATGTCTATTGATATTTAATTCTGATCGTGTAATAATTGTGCTAAACTTGTTTAAGGACAATATATTTTTAGAATATAATTTAATATTCATGTACATTATTCTGTATATTAAATGATGACAATTGCATGAATTTCATTAATATTGCTAATTATTTATTTGTTATTTTTGTACCAATGTCAATATTAGTCCAATGAACATAATCGACTTTATATTATAATATATTTAACTGAAATACAATTAATTGTTTTGTTTTTGTTTATTTTTATTTTTGTTATTTTCATGATTATTAATATTTTTTAATTATTTGATTTTTATATTGTAAAGCATAGTTTTAAGACAAATAACTTATTGAAAAAATGCTAGGATAACACGATTTTACAAAGTTCTAAAACAAACATATTTTTGTGACATTTATCTGGCGTGAGCTTAGATAGTGTCTGAGCATTCAATTGTTGAAAATAATTGTTTATAATCTGTTATAATGAAATATAATATTAAATTAACAGGTTTGCACTTGCTAATGTATTTTATCGATTTTTATTTATATATATCTCATTGTCTTGTATATTATTTTGTATATACTTTATTTCAAATTACTTGTAATGCATTTTTGTTTATAATAGTTCTGCTTTATAACAGTAGATATTTGCTTAAAACAATTTGCTATTCTTGTCTATTAAGCAAACGGATTGAGAAAATGGCACTAAATTTGGATAAATTATTGCCAAAAGAACTAATAATAAGCTCAGCGGACAGTCATCTGTACAGAATCGGCTTAAGTCTAACCAAAATGCATTCAAAGCATAAGAGAAATTTATTTCATATGCCCATCATTGTTTTCACCATATTAACATTGATGTTGGTTAAAAATATCACAATCCTTTTTCTACCACAAGACAATCGGTTGCTATTTGTAATGTTGGGTGACTTTTCATACTTTGCCGGAATGAGCGTTCATTATAACGTCGGCTGCAGTTTATTCATAGTATCCGTTATTAATACACATTTAATTCATTTCGCTAATTATATGATGGATATTAACCCAACATTTTTTGCCGTGTTTAATATGATGGCCGGTAGGGTATCACCAAGCTCAATTGGTCTTACTAATGTTTTGCAAACAATAGGCTTAATTAGTAGAGCAAGAACACTCATATTTTTGTTGAAAGTTAATTGCAATTTAAATGTACCTGTGATTCATTTTCTACTTTCATTATTTCCATATGTAATGAATTGTTCACTAAACGAGGTATTATTCTATGGCATTCCCAACTCGATGCTTTTCTCGGTGTTTGCCTATCATATCTATAATTTACAGTTGTATTCAATTGTTTACTTTTATCTGATTTGCTATTATCTGAAGATCAAGATCAAGACAATCAACGATGACATTCAAATGAAATACTATTATAAATGTAATTCAATGATACAGTCGTTCAATGCATTGTACGCTGAGATCAATGAATATAATGTGAAATTCTGGTCAAAATATTTTCTCAATTTTTGGATAGCATACGGAAGTACTGTTGTATTCGCTGCTTATCTATTGATTTTTAAAACAAATACAATGATTGACAAAATTATATTCAGGTTTCTTATGTTTCAGTTGTGTTCAGTGTTTTTGTTTATTATATTCAGCGCCTCTTCAGTCAATTATGAGGCAAACAAATCGTATAAAACTTTATGCAATTTAGTTGTTACTGATTTTAGATATAAACATATGTTGAAACTGCCCTTAAAACTAAAAGTAAGAATTTTAACCTTATTAGAAATTTAATTACATCATTTATAAATGTATATTTGTAATTTTATAAATAGATTATGGTATTTATCGAAAGATTAGCCGAGAAGTCGGTGGGGTTTTCGTGTTGGAGATTATTTACTATAAACTACTTTCGATGCTATGATGTAAGATTAAATTAATTAATTTTAACTAATGCATATAATAATTAATTAATTAATTTTATTCAGATCATCTCAATTTTGTTTATATTTTTTCTTAAAATAATTGAGCTATCACGGTAAAATATATTGTATAAATATCATAAGCGTGTCACGATTTTTGGTCATGAATTCATGTAGTAATAAAGTAATTGATGTTATTTAAATATTGATGGTTAAAATATATTTAATGTGAAAAATATTAACAAATTGGTTTATATTAACCCAATGAATAAGTTTCTTCCAAATATAACAGTACGATGTTCAAACAATTATAATAATTTTTATTTTAGTTAAAATTTACGGCTTGAATAGAAACGTTTATTAGGATTTTCATGCTCATCATTTCAACTTGTAAATTTTTAAATAATTATAAAGTATTTAAAATGAAGGTAAAGTAAAATATTAGACATTTATATTGTATAGATATTCATTGTGCCATTAGTCTATTTTAAGAATTCAGTAATTTAATGTTATTTTAATGTTGATGTTTTGTTAATTAAATAATTATGGAATTTTTCATTATTATATAATATGGTAAAATTATATTGATTTCAAGAATAATTAATATTTGTATAATTCTGGTGACTAATTATTATTCCTTTCACTAAATATTATGTTTAATTAACAAAATTAAAAATAAAGTGACAGACTATTACTAATAGTATAGTAAACTAATTTATCTAATAATAAATTAATTGTAATGTCAAATTAATTATAAACGCAATTAAATTACAATTAAAATACTTTATTATAATTAGTGACAATAAAATAATATGATAAAAATTATTTATTTGGGTACGAGTTTAACCATACGACAGGAGCCGCCGGTTTTCACTAATAACTCGAGATTATCGGCGGCTTTAAGTGTACTCAAAATCTCTTTGCCCTCATCGAGGTATAGGTCGTGCACCACGTATTCAGTGTCGGGTTTCGCCTCCGGGATCAAAGTCTTTATTTTTTGGGACATCTATTATGAAAAAATAATTAATTAAATTAATTAAAAGTTCTTAAAGAATGCGATAAATTAGTTAATTATGGTAAATAATGGGTGAAAAATATTGTAATTTATAAGTAATACTAACGTAATGTTTCTCTCCGATACCGTTTGTGTCGAAATAGACGACAGCGTAAGACCACTGGCCGTTCACTTGCGGCTCAACCCGTTTCGTCCAAACCTGTTCGCTGTCTTTCTGTTCGCATCAATATTTAACACACATTTCAGTTATTTAGAAAATAATTGCAAATTATATTATTATAAATATCTATACTCTTTGCAACCGTCTGGCCATAAATCCATTCTTGTCCTGATTTACGGCAATAATGGCCTTATTTTGCAGCACTTTCTTGTCTTCGGGCGAAATGTCTCTCAAATCGTTGGACATATAGAGTGGCGCCGAAAACATGGCCCACATTGCCATATGTGTGCGGCTCTGCTCGTGAGACATACCGTAGTCGCCGACAACTACCATATCTGTGACGTGTATTATAACAATATTAATAAATTTAATGTTAACTTTGTGTGAAATTCTAACCTGGATCGAAGAAATGTCCGGGACCTAGATGAAATAATAAGCATAAATTAGTTAACACATGGTATTGAATAGTGATATAAATACGGACCGTTATATTTGGTGAACAGATCGTTATTATCGCCGTAATAATTGATAATGGATTCAATGCTACCCCAATTTTGCGCGACGTCTCCATAGTTTCTAAATACATGGCACGTGTCGGCGATGGCCTGGTAATTGATCTTGATGTCGGGATGACCACCTTGGTACAGCGGCCACTCGCATATGAATACCATTGGGCGGCCTTAAATAATTATAATAATTTTTAACTACCAAAAGACTGAATGACTGAGTGACTTATTAACCAACATTTATTTATGGGCGAGTTTATAGATATTTCACTGATTCAAATATCATTAGATTACAGTTTGTAAATAAATAAAAATTAATTTAAAATATACGTAATTTGTCTTGAGAAATTTATAATATATTAAAGATTTAAGCTCTCACTTTCCGAATATAATAGTATAATGGTTGTTCAATTATTATAATAGTTAGTTTAATAAAAATTTGCGGTTTATATAAAAAGTGATATTGATGGAGACCCGATATAAATTACGAGAATTTTGTAGTTATTTCACTGATACATAATCATAACATAAATTACAGTTTGTAGAGAGGACATTTAAGGCTTGTATTAAAAGAAACAATCGATTGTATTAATATTCAATATAAATGTAGATAGCCTTAGTGATTATTTAACTTAATAATTTATAAATAAATAATAAATTATGATGATCATACGATTATAATTATAAATATTTTTGTTAAAATTTAAAACCAGCCGTCATTTGGATACCATATAAATATAGATTGCCTTATTGGTTATTTAAATAAATAATTTTCTCATACAATTACAGTTTGTACGAATAAATATAAATTATTAAATATATGATTGTGTAAAATGTCTATAAATACCGGATTCGTTGAGCGCTTTACCCATTTTGGGGTACAAGTCGTCGAAATGGTGCGGATCTTCATTACAGCCGTCAAACTTGAATGAGTCGATCCCCCACTCGGCGAACGTTTTGGCGTCGATTGAGAAATAATTGGATCCATTCACTCCATTTTGGGACGGATACCTGTGCCACAAATATCAGGGTCAATCAAATATAACACCAATTGATATACCAACTTACCCAGCACAAGTCTTGGGCCCAACATCACCATAAATGCCTAACTTTAGTCCCTTGGAGTGGACATAATCTGCCAGCGCTTTCATGCCGTTGGGAAAGCGCTGTTTGTGTGGCACCAGTCGGTGCTGAGCATCCCTTTCCATTTCGCTCCAACAGTCGTCTATATTGACGTAATTATAGCCCAACTCTTTATAACCTCCGGCGGCCATCGCATCCGCCTGTGCTTTATAAAGGTCTTCGTTGATACAGCCCTTGGGATACCGTTTGCAGTCGGTTTCGCAGCCATAGCGGGTCCACGAGAGCCAACCCATGGGTGGTGTCCGTACGAGCCCGTCCTCCCGGGCCAGTCCGCACTCGATGGCCAACAGAGCGAAACACACCAATAGCTTAATGTCTACCATAATTGATAAACTAATGGATCGCAAACTGAATTGATATACTTTTTGCGTTTACTTTATATACAGGCAGTGATTGTTTTTCAAGTATACTTAGAAACAGAAAAAAATATTTTCAATCGATAATAAATGCGTTAATAAATTTTCATTTCACTTCAGATAGTGGTGTTATCAATGTTTTTATTAATACCATTTAATATACCCTTTATATTACAATAAAAGAGCATATTGGTTGATTATTTATAAACTGTATTTATAAAGTACCCTACTTACTTTATGGTATCGATGTATTGAATCTTGATGTACTAAAATTGAGCCTTGACGTAAATTTCCAATGGGTCCCGCACAATTTTGTTTTTGTTTGTTTTGTTTCATTTTGTTTATTTAATCCCAGCTAGCATAAATAGAATTTTGAAAATGTTAGCAGCAAGGTAAGCAGCATTTGTTGTAATTCCCTTAACCATATGTTAAAAGTGTGTCTTATGTGAATGATCTGTAATTTATTTAGTTAAAAAAATAGTTTATTTATCTACTTTACTGTGAGGTTAATCTAATATAATCTCAAAATTTCACAAATAGTATTGTTAGGAATTTGATCCCAAGATTGGGTTTGTAATTGCGTTAATTATATGAAGAATTTAATATTAAGTAATAATAAATAAAATAATTTTATCATTAATGTCGCTAATTTGTAATTTTACCTTAAATAATTTATACTCTATTATTAATACACATCAATTTAATTTACATGATCAGCTGCTGTTATACTCACTAATATTCTGTTGGACTTTAAACAATTGCGATCAAGGTTGCAAAACAATATCGTTAATTAACAAATATAAAATTACTGATTAGCAAAATAAAGTTATACCATATTGTAAATGTCAAAAATTAAAATTTATTTCTATCTAGCATATATTATAACAATTATTTAGGGGTGAGTTTAACCATACGACAGCCCCCGCCGGTCGCCAACAGGAGCTCCAGATTAGATCCCTTCAGTTCACCGATCTTTTCGTCGCCAAACAGATCCTCCACTTTATAATCGGATAAGTCTTTTGCCTCAGGTATTAATGTCGACAACTTTTGTGACATCTATTGTTTTGATAAGCAATTAATTAGATGAGAGAGAGAGAGAGAGAGAGAGAGCAAATACTTACATAATAACGATCTCCAATACCGCTCTCATCGATATAAACCACGACATGCGACCACTGGTCCTTCACTTTGGGCTCAACCTGTTTAACCCACGCCTGTCTGTGTTTATCCTTTATGATAAATTTAGCGTATTTTTAAAACTATGAATTGTAAATTATGGTGAATTAATACATACGACAAACACTCGTTTAGCCATAATTGCGTGTTTGTCCTGATTTACGGCAATAATGGCCTTATTTTGCACTATTTTCTTGTCGTCGGCGGAAATGCTCCTCAAATCGTTGGACATATAAAGAGGGGCCGAAAACATGGCCCACATTGCCATATGTGTGCGGCTCTGCTCGTGGGACAGACCAAAGTCACCCACCATTAACATGTCTGTTCATGGTCATTTAAATAGATTTTTAGTATTTATTAGTATCTAACATATATTTTCTATGTTAAATTACCTGGGTCGTTAAAGTGTCCCGGTCCTATTGAGATAAAGTAAATAAAAGTTTCAATACATGTTAATGTGAATTATTAGTACTATTTATGTTTATAGTAAATACCGTTGTGTGCAATGAATTCTGCGTTGTTTTCGCCGTAAAATTTAATGATGGATGAGATGGAGGCCCAACTGTCGCCAATGTCGCCGTGATTTCTATACACGTGACACGTGTTGGCGATGGATGTGTAGTTAGGCTTAATGCCCTTGTGCAATTGGTATAATGGCCACTCGCATATGTACACTATTGGACGACCTGTTGTAATTGAAAATAAATATAGTTCAACATTGTTCCTCATTCAGATTGAATATAAAAATATAAATATATTTTTAAATTTAAATTATTGTAAAGTTACACTTTTAATTGTTATGTACAACTAAGCACAAGATATCTTATAACACAAAAGTTGAGTTGCGCTGGTAAAGTTGTCGCCAATTATAATTGTATAATATTCATTGTATAATTATAATAAATAATTTTGTTAAAATTTACGGCTTGTATTAAATGGATCGACTCTGCGAATCCCATATAAGTTTAAATCGCCTTATCGGTTAGTTAAATGCACAACTTTATAATGCAATTACAGTTTGTACGAAATAGGCCTAAATTAAAATATTATTGTACGAAATGTCTATAAATACCGGATTCGTTGAGCGCTTTACCCATTTTGGGGTACAAGTCGTCGAAATGATGCGGATCTTCATTACAGCCGTCAAACTTGAATGAGTCGATCCCCCACTCGGCGAACGTCTTGGCGTCGATCGAGAAATAATTGGATCCATTCACTCCATTCTGGGACGGATATCTGCCATTAAATGCTACATTAGTTCACTATAAAGAGTACACTATAAGCCACACATACCCGGCGCAAGTCTTGGGCCCGACATCGCCATAGATGCCCAGTTTGAGTCCCTTGGAGTGCATATAGTCGGCCAGCGCTTTAATACCGTTGGGAAAGCGCTGTTTGTGTGGCACCAGTCGTTGCTGAGCATCCCTTTCCATTTCGCTCCAACAGTCGTCTATATTGACGTAATTATAGCCCAACTCTTTATACCCGTCGCTAACCATTCTGTCCGCCTGTTCTTTGTATAGGTTCTCATTAATACACGCTTTCGGGTATTTCTTGCAGTCGGTCTCGCATTTATAACGAGCCCACGACAGCCAACCCATCGGTGGTGTCCGCACCAGACCGTCATCCCTGGCCAACACACCGGCTATGGCCACGGCTATGAACGCTAGGCATATGATTGCTTTAGACATAGTTTTTGATGAGTTGATGAGTTTGTGAATATTATTTTGTGTGAAATGTTTGTTGTTTTTATACTAAAGTCAATTTAGATAAGCTTAACAATAGGTTTAATAATAAGTTGTTTTTCCTAACCTTAATCGCCGGTTAAGTATTGCGATTATCTAATGCCGGATAATATCTGTTAGACTTTGGTTTATGGAATGAGTACAAGAAATCACTTTCTATTGTATCTCAATCGATATTTACCATAATTTAATTATTAATTAGTACATCAGTTGTATGTCTTTTTATAATATCTTATACTTATATTTTATCATTTATTCTTGACGTTTAAAAATATCATAATCAAACAAAAACAACTTGATTAAATGAATATCTGGTGTATCTAGTAAAGGTAATTGTGCATACTTGATTTGATATAATTTTTATAATATGTGGCAAATGATTAGTTTATGGAATGTTATAAAATATTTTAAGATTATATTATAGATAATTAAATGTTGTTTATTATAAATTATATTTGTGTTAAAAAGACCAATAACGACATCGGGACCCACATAAATCTACATGGTCTTATTGGTTATTTAATTGAGTACTTCTATAATGTAATTACAGTTTATATGGAATAGTTGTAAATTAAGCTATTATTGTGACAAAAGCACATAAATATCGGATTCGTTGTGTTTTTTACAGTTAAAAGTTATTAATTAAATTTAGTGAATATATTACATTTATAAACTATCTATTTCAAAATTATTATTTAATTGCTCAATTTTTAAAAAAATTTAAAAAACAAATTATTGATGCCTTCTTAAAAATATTCAGATATAATAAAAGATGTAAAATGTTATTTTTTAATTACTTTTTAATATTTTGTAAATCACATTTATTATTTTAATCAATAAAAATAAATATATCTGCTTCTATTAACTAATTTATATTTATTAAAAAACTATTATATAATTACCCAATTAAAAATAAACAAAACCATAGTAATAAAACAAATTAAAGTGACATTAATCATTTATGACATTGATAGTTTTAGATGAGTTACAGTACATTTAAAATACATTTATTTTCAATAAAAATAGTTTACAAAACAAAAGTAAAACTTATAAAAATCAATGGCTTTCAGCCAATTGTAATCAACGTTTCAAAAAACTAATGAAGTTTTTTATACTTAAGATAAACAGATCTTTTGCAAAGTTTTGACACAAACATTAATTTGAATTTCAAGTCTCAGTGTTTAGGCATTTATTATATGGAAATACAAACAAAAAATATTGTCCCCAAAAATAGCGCATTAATTAACTATATTTTTGCTCATTTCCACCGAAACAACACCTCCTCCTCGATATAGTATGCAAACGATTCAATACATAATCAATAGTCTGTGAAATAGTATTGAAATTTGTGACTAATTTATTTATTTATAGATTTTTTGTTGTGTTTTTAGGGGAAAACTGTTGAATAGACAAAATTCTTATAGGATTTTAACACTATTTTATGAATGGTTTTCTATAATGAGCCGAAACTACAGAATATTCTTTACGTCTCTTTGGCTTTAAACAACAAAATCTCTGTTTTCACTCATTAAATGTCACAATCATTCACTGATTTACCATAGATTACAACAATTGTCTCTTTGTTTTGCGGTTTAATTTGTATTAATTTATAAATTAGTTTTTATTTTTGTGTTTTTGTATTTCTATGTATAACAATATGAAAGAAATTCGTTATCAATTATCGTTATATAAAATAGTTTTATTACTTTTACTATTAATTGGTTGTGTATATCAAGTGTTAGACATAAGTTATCTGTATTTCAAGTATAAAACTAATATAAATGTGAATTTAATTAAGGAGTCGGTGGTTGAGATGCCGGCCATAACTATCTGTACAAATGTTACGCAAACCATAAGAAGTGATTATTTGTCCGAAAGGTTTGGCAATGAATCTGAAGCCCGAAGAGACAAATGGACACAAATAAGACAATTACAGAGTTTGTCGCTTAAGGAACAGCTAATGAATGCTACCATAAGTGCTCAACAATTGTTTAACTCGTGTCAAGTTTTAAAGCCAATCGGTATGTAATTTACATTACAAGCTGTAAACTTTATGGTAGAAATAATTTTTATATTTATTTAAAATTATGTAAACTAATATTTTGGATTTTTTGATTTACTTGATTTTTATTTATAAAAATAAAATATAATTATTTGGTAATTATTTAAATATTTATAAATATATGCATAATTTGTTTAACTTATGTTTGATTTTTAGCCAATTAGTTTGTAATAAAAAATATTACATAACTTATAGTAATAAGATATGAATTCAACAAAACAGTACAAACTGTAACCATTATGATAAAATAAGATTTTAATAATTTCATTGACAATTGAATGAATTATTATGGTGTACAATGTTCGAACGCTTTTTATTTATTTTCAGAAATATATTTTAAAATTTAGTAACCATTGTTTAATTTATGACTTGTTTTAAAACAAATCGTTGAATAATTTAATAAATTATATTATAAACTGTAAACCTTATAATAGAAAAAATTTTAGTATTTATCTTAAATTACATAAATTTGCACTTGGGGCTATCATATCAACAAATTGTTAATTAAAATTAATTAATTTTATGAAACAAAATATAACTCGTGTCAAGTTTTAAAACCAATCGGTATGTAATTTAATAATTTGCATTATAAACTGTAAACCTTATGGTAGAAATAATGTTCATATTTATTTAAAAATATTTAAAATAATATTTTGGCATTTCTACAACTTTCTAAATTAATTTTATTTTATAAAATAAAATGTGATTATTTGGTGATTAATAATCACTGATTATTTAAATATTTACAAATATTTGAATAGTTTGTTTAACTTACGTCTGATTTTGCAGTCAATTTAGTTTGTATTATAAAATATTACATAACTTATATTATTATTAATATGTATTAAACAAAACAGTACAAACTGTAATTATTATGATAAAAAATATTTTAATAATTTCATTAACAATTGAATTAATTATTCTGGTATAGAATATCTTCTTACTATTTTCAAATATAATTTTTTAATTTAGTAACCATGTTCAATGCGTGTCTTGTTTTAAAACAAATTGTTATATAATTTAATAAATTGTATTATAAACTGTAAACCTTATGATAGAAATATTTTTAGTATTTATTTTTAATTACATAAAATTATACTTGGATGATTGATTAATTTTATAAAACAAAATATAATTATTTTTGTGATTATTTTTAATAATTTGCTAAACTTATATCTAAACTTGAACACAATTTAGTTCATAATCTAAAACATTATACAACTTATATCAGCATAAAACATGTATTACAGAAGTATAAACTGTAAACTTTATTGTAGAAAATAATTCAATAATTTAATTTACAATTGAATAAATCAATATTGGGCACACACTTCTACTTTTAATTTTTAAATTAAAAAAATTTAATTTAACGTCCATGATATGCTTGTTATATAAATTATTGTATATTTTTAATGTTTAATCCAATGTTTGTCTGTACTCTCCCGTGTGATAAGGTCTGGACGAGCGGTTCGCCAACGAATACATAGACTGTGGGAATATATCGCGGATTCGCCAGTATTTGAACATTAATTACAAGTGTTTCACGATATTGTCTCAATTGGACGGCGAAAGTGATGACAATTACCGCATAGACCACGACATCGGTGTCAGCGATAATGGATTCCTATTCATACGAATGCTGTTAAACAACCGATTCATGAATGGCTTATATGTGTTCATACACTCCCGAAGACACCCATTTCAGGGCTATTTTGGCGGACAATTGAATGATCTCCAGATTTATAATAGGAGATATTCAGGTAGGTTTTAATTGAGTGCTATATTTTTGTATTAATTAAAACATTTTTACCACATTTTAATCCCACCAATATTTAATTTACGATTTTTATTATTTTTATAAACTGTAAATATTGAGCTATACATAGTTTTATTATCTATCTCAAATTATATATATTTAAAAGTGGAATACGTCAACATCCCAATTTAATATAATTTTATTTTATAAAACACAATATGGTTATTTATTGATTTAAAAAACTTGTTTATTAAATCACAGGCTATTCACTGACTTATTCAAAGACAACGACACAACTACTTCCCTATCCCTATGAGACAAATTGCATGAACTACACAAACATTGGCTATAAATCGCAGAGCGATTGTATTGTCAAATGCAAGACCGCGTACTTTAAGCGCCACTTTTCCGGATGGCATCCGTACCTACCGGTGCCCGAAGAGGTGGACGACGACATGTATTTCG